CACATGCATTTTAAAGTCATAGAAATCATGCCAAAGAACATGTAGCCTGTGGAAATCAAAGCAACTTTTCCCTTTAATACTACAATCCCTTAATTACAATTAAGTTGTGGAACAGTGGTAGTTTCCAGAGCTTTACCAAAACTATGGATTCTAACAGCCCTTTTTGTATACTGCCAATCTCCCCCAGGAACGGCATGAAAACTGAAATAGTAATACATGAAGTAGTGGTTGCAAATCAACAGATATTTGGCAAGCACAACTGTACAAACAAGACAACAAAATTCAGCATGTGGGGTATGCTCCCCTCTTAACTGTCCCCAAAATAATATCAAGCATGTCCACTGGAATTTCTAAAGTTCACAAAAAATATATATCTTTGCAGAAATATATAAAATAGTTTCTGCTATTACTTCACTTATAAAATCTGCAAGCGTATTTTCCACAAGTTCCTGCCACTGAGCATGAAATCATGAAGAATGTTTTGCAGGGAAAATGAGAAAATGCTAATCTGGTGACAGGAACAATCTCCAAGGGGACAGAGAGCCAAAATCACGCCTCCAGAGAGCAATGGAAAGGATCAGTTCTGGCATATTTGCCAGCAAGGTGACAACCTTTATTAAACCAATTCTGTTCTGCTTTACCTCAGTAATCAGATCAGAAGAAAATATTAATTAACAGTTAAATAATTTTAAACTGAGCACATCAGAGCATTTGCTACCCAGAGCTTCTCAGTTTTTGTCACAGCACAGCCCACATAGAAATCAATGCTGTTTGCACAGCACAGGGGCTACAGCAGAGGAGATAATTGATACCACAACTCCAACAACCCTAGGCTGCCCCAGGGCTAAAGGACAAATACCTCAGTCTATCCGTGAAGAATTCTGTGACACACAGATTAGAAATCTCCATCCTAACCAACTGAAAGTGGAAATGCGTTCTGCAACAGCATTCCTGGTTGACACACATTTGCTTCCACATGCCAGACAAAATTAACAACTAGTCACTGGAGATCTACTATGTGTGCAGCTCTGTTTTCTTTTCTTTTATTTTAATTGACAAATGATAATTTTGTGTATTTATGGTATGCAATGTAATGTTTGGATACACATATACATTGTGGGATGCAAGATTGAACGAGCAGATGGATTCTAATACCACGCTCAATCCTACTGTCATGCTGTATGCAGTAAAGTTCAATGAAATATTTGAACAAAGGATAATAATTTTTTTAAAAAATAGAAGTTAGGGAGATGACCCTGGGGAAACGGTTCAGTCCCAAATGTGTTTTGAGTTTCTTTGGGAAGGGGTGGAACTAAATAGTTTATTGACCAGGGTCCAGAGTTATTCAAAGGCAAGAAGAGAAGAAACAAAGACTGATCAGCAGGAAACTTCCAAGAGATCTGAAAAGGAGAGAAAGTAAAGCTCAGAAGCCTGGGTGTGAGGCAGTTAAGGGTCTAGGACAGAAACGAAAACGAGAAACGAGGATTCAATAAGGGACCAGACAATACAATTTTATGATTACTTAGATCCACCATGGGTAGATAACAGGAAGCAGAAAGAAAAATTTAAGATGTGTACAGATTTCTGACCTGTAACATAGGAAACATGTATAGTTATCTTTAGAGTGAATTTGAGGGAAAAATATGACAAATCAGATTTAGGGAACTTCAAGTTTAGGTGTCAGGGCTTCCAATAGTTAGCCAAATATATTGATACAGAGCTTGAGAGAGAGAGAGAGAGAGAGATTTGAAACTGCCAAGATGAATAAGAGTTTAAGAGAGACAAAATGATGTTGAGTCAAATTATACAGACATAATGATATCGTTAAAATGGAAAAATATATACAAATTCAAAAACATACTACATAAAAATGTCTACACCACATATCTCTTTCTATAGGCCACAAATTATTTATTCAAACAGCATTCAGTGCAAATTTAAATGCCTCCCGTGACTAGCCTGGGACATACCATGGAAGACAAGATTAACATGGTCCTTGACCTTCAGGAGTTTACAGCACAGTGCGGGAGATTGGCATGAAGCAAAATCACATGCAAATAAATATATAATTGCCAAATGGGAATAAATCTGTGACTTGAATTAAAAATTCCCAAGAAATTATTGTCAAGTCATAAATCTGCTATGTACTAAATTCATGTTCTTAAAATATTCAAATAGCAATAAACATTTAATATTCAATATCTTAATTAGAATTAATTAGAATTTATTTTCAAAATTTTCATTGTAAAGCCATCTTTTTATTATTGGAATATTCAAAAATCACATGAACAACAGAACCATACCTGGGTCAGAAATCCCTTTTTTTTTTTTTAAGATTTATTTATTTATTTATTTGAAAGGCAGAGAGTTACAGAGAGGCAGAGAGAGGTCTTCCACTGCTGTTCACTCCTGAAATGGCCACAATGGCTGGAGCTGGGCCAATTCGAAGCCAGGAGCTAAGAGCTTCTTCTGGGTCTCCCACGTGAGTACAGGGGCCCAAGGATTTGGGCCATCTTCTATTGCTTTCCCAGGCCATAACAGAGAGCTGGGTCGGAAGTGAAACAACCAAGACTCAAACTGGTGCCCATATAGGATGCCGCACTGAAGGTAGCAGCTTTATCTGCTATGCCACAGTGCCGGCCCCCAAGTGTCCCTTTTAAGAGCACCAGTGCGCTGTGGCATAGCAGGTAAAGTCACTACCTGCAATGCCAACATCCTATATGGGCGCCAGTTTGAGTCCTAGCTGCTCCACTTCCCATCCAGTTCTTTGCTATGGCCTGGGAAAGCAGTAGAAGACGGCCCAAATCCTTGGGCCTCTGCATCCATGTGGGGGACCTGCAAGAAGCTCCTGGCTCCTGGCTCCTTGGCCTCAGATCGGCCCAGCCCTGGCTGTTGTAGCCATCTGGGGAATGAACCAGAGGATAGAAGACCTCTTTTTCTCTCTCTGCCTCTGCCTCTCTGTAACTTTGCCTTTCAAATAAATAAAGAAATCTTTAAAAAAAAAAAAGCATACAGAAAAACTTTTTTGTGTGAAAGAGAGACAGACGCAGAGTTTTTCATCTAGTGGTTCACACCCTCAAATGCTTGCAAATGGTTGAGACTGGACTGGGCCAAAGTTGGAAGCCAAGAATTCAGAAATTCAAACCAGGTTTCCCATGTGGGTGGTAGGGACCCGACTACTTAAATATTACCTACTGCCTCCCAGAGTATGCGTTAAGTGGCAGGAAACTAGCTAGTATCACGAACTGGAGCCAGGACTCAAACTCAGGGCCTCTGATGTCCTAACTAGAGGCTTAAGAACTAGATCAAATGCCTGCCACTATCATTTCCATTGTTGTCATTGATGTTAAGAATTACATTTGATTTTAAAATTTTAATGCTATTTTCACATCACGCTAATGTTTCAAGTTTTTTGTCTTTGAGTATTTGAAGAATGATGTTCTTGTCTCCCTCTGGATTATTTCCTGCTTGGATAATAACATCATCAGCGATATATTCATAAAGACCTTCTCCAAGTACTTGGACATCACCATTGGTCAAGTGGTTCTGATAGTAGATTTACAATTGATAACATTTCATTATGGAAATAGTGAATTGACATATAAACCAAAAACATTCTACTATCTGAGCCAATTCATTGCATACAGCGAAATGACACAATGGGAGGACAACATGTTGAGTGAAATAAGCCAGATGCAGAAAGATTAATACCATGTGTTTGCCTTTATATGTTGGAGCTAAAATTAAAAAAAAAAGGAAAAAAGAAAGAAATTTCTGTGTGTGTCAGTATTGCTTCAAATATCATTTTGTAAAACTCCGCTTTATAACTTTGTCAAACCAATGGTTAAGAATGTTATACTACCATAGTTTTAATGACCTGTGATTACTTTACAATTTACTGTATATTGGTGAAATGGTCATTTTTCTGTTCAATTATTGTGTATAGACATTGTTCATAATCCCACTAAAGTAAGGAAGAATGGTGGAAGAAAGAGAGGGGGAAGAAGAGAGGAAGGGAATATCATTATGTTCTTAGAATTGTACCTACAAACCACATTGAATCTGTTAAAAACTAATTAAAATTTAAAAAAAAAATTTAATTAACCAAACATGCACACGCTGAAATGCTGCAAAAATAAGATATTAAGATAGCAGTAGTAGAAATTTTCAATCTCCTCATAAGTCACTCTTCCATACAAGTTAATATTAACCACAAAAAAGAATTTATTACATACTTGAATTACTCTATCCTTAGATAAAATGGATAATGGAAAACTTTTATTTGTTGAAAAACAGATGAAAATATTTCAATATCTTCACTACTCAAAAAATATATGCAAATGAATGAAAAAATTCTCTCCTGCAAAACACCTTCTCTGAAACTGACCTATACTCAAGGTGCCCTCTTGCTATCCTGTAGTTAATGGGCTTGCATGAAGATGACGCACAAGTGGAAGGAAGAGATTCACAATTACTGTGTTAATTTACAGGCCAGTATGTTATCTCAGAATGAAAATCAAAAGCATTTTAAATAAAAGCAATTTTATACCTCACCTTTTATATCTTCAAAAGTCTTTTAAATCATAAGGTATAAAAATCCCATCTCATCATTTTTACTCCAAACAAAGTATTTTTCCTTATGTCTGAAAATAAAGTCAATTTGCATTCAAATCTCATAAATCATTTTCACATAATATATATTGTCATTCATTCAGCTTTAGCATAAATAACAGCTAAACTACTAGCTGGGAAAAGCAACAACTTATCAGGAGAAGAAGTCCAAATTTAATCTATGGTTGACTTTAAATTAATCCTTAACCAGAACTTAGCCTCTCTGGCCCCTTGCAGTTTGAATTTAAGAAGTTATGATGAAAAATACCCACCACTGACTGCAAAAATGCAAATCATTGAAATCACTCATATTTATCCTCCTGAGCAAATGCACCAACTCAGATCCAATTTTTTAAAAACCTCTGAGGAAGAACTGAATATGCTATTACCTGACCTGGGACTGCTTATCTATCACGTTGGCTCCATTAGCGGGAAGGCAGTGGTAGCACTTTGTCAGTGTGTGGCAGGATGACTCACGAGGCATTCACAGACGGATCTGTAAGGGAAAAGATGATATGAGAGACTTAGAAATCCCAACAGACAGCCTTGTATTTTCTCCTCCCACCTCTTCTCCACCAGCAGAAGGTGTCTAGGGTAACATGAAGGTTAAGATCATGTCTTTCGCTTCTCCGCTTCAAATTCTTTGAAGTAGCTCTGTTTTCTCTGATGAAAGCTGTGTCGTTGTGAAAGAATCAAACCCTCCTTCTCTGGGGGTGACCCAGAACAATCCACAAACCTGGAGAGCTGCTATAGGACCTCCAAACCTGAGTACACCCACTCAGCACAGACAAAGCCAACTACTGACACGAGGTGGTGGAAGAAAGGCGGCTTCCACTGCAAAGCACAGAGCAAGGAGCCAGACAGCTATCACTTAATGCCCAGGCTCTCCCAGGGGTTAGAGAAGAAGGTTCTTATAGACTGAAGTTGGGGTTGAGGGGCGCATGTCCAGCTTGTGTCCAGGTTCCTGGTTGATTGGCAGTGCACGTGGCCTTCCTTGACTGGTCTGGCCAAATGGACTTGAGTCAGTCTAGGGGCTACATGCAAGTGAAAGTTAATTTCCTCACAGGGCTTGGGGTTCTTGCAAAGGAAATTCTTCAAGACAAAATGCTAACTATAGAGTAAATAAATGACTCCTAGGTCCTGTGGTTACAATTTTGTAGAGCCAGCTGTACCACTCCCTCATTTTTAATAAGTAGGTGATTTGTTATCAAAGGGCAAGTGCAAGGACATCTCTAAGCTAAAGGAGGGAAGCTGGCACCTGGGGCCTGATGGTCTCTCGTGTCTGCATCCAAGGCACTGGTTAGAGGCTCGGTTTCCTGGGGAAGCTTCATTGGAGACTAAGGAAGCATCTACAGCTCCCCTTCTCTCTGCCCCTCCATGTGCTGAGAAACATGGCAGTCAATGCTACTGTGAACAAAGCAGAAGAATCTGATATCTGTCTAGGCCACACCCTTCTTGGAAATACCAGGTTTACTCCCAAAACAAAGAAGACATAGACACCAAAAGGATCTTCATGCTGAGTATGATTAAGATGAACCACTTTATTTTTAGATAAGAAAAATATAAGCTCAAAGGCATAAAGTGATGTGTCCAGGGTCTCACAATTCCCAGACCAGTATCATCTTCAGTCATAGGAGCTACAAGGGCTCCATTAACCAGAAATTCCAATTCTAGGGCGGTGCTGTGTCCACACCACTGGAAGATGGCAGCTGCCACATTCTCCTGTACTGTGGGCCTCTGCTCCCGGCTCTTCCCAAGAGTCCTTCTCAGACCAGACTTTCCTGAGATCCCCCTCCACTCTCTTCCTCAGAATATATTTTATCACGGGCCGGCGCCGTGGCTCACTAGGCTAATCCTCCGCCTTGCGGTGCCAGCACACCAGGTTCTAGTCCCGGTCGGGGCGCCAGATTCTGTCCCGGTTGCCCCTCTTCCAGGCCAGCTCTCTGCTGTGGCCAGGGAGTGCAGTGGAGGATGGCCCAAGTGCTTGGGCCCTGCACCCCATGGAGACCAGGATAAGTACCTGGCTCCTACCATCGGATCAGCGTGGTGCGCCGGCTGCAGCGCACCAGCTGAGGCGGCCATTGGAGGGTGAACCAACGGCAAAAAGGAAGACCTTTCTCTCTGTCTCTCTCTCTCACTGTCCACTCTGCCTGTCAAAAAAAGAATATATTTATCACAATCTAAAACTAACTTTTTATTTATTTATTTACTCAGGCACTGTCCCTCCTTACCATAGGATATAAGCTCCATAAAGCATAGAACATCATTACTTTCTCTTTTTTTAATTTTTAATTTATTTATTTGAATGGTAGACAGAGACAGATGACAGAAAGAGAGAGAGAGAGAGTTCCCATCTACTGGTTTAGTCACCAAATGCTGACAGCAGTGGGCACTGGGTGAGGTTGAAGCTGGGAGTTAGCAGCCAGGTCTCCCACATATATGGGAGGTACTTAAATACTTGAGTCAGAACCTGCTGCTTCCCAGGATGTACATCAGCAGGAAGCTGGAATTGGGAGTGGAGCCAGGGGTCAGACCTAGACACTCAGATACTGGATTCAGGTATCTCAAACAATACCTTAACTGCTCCACCAAACACCAGCCCCCATTCCCACAACATGTGGTATGAAAGATGGTACATAGTAGTACAATGAACACCATTTGTACTAAGCATTGCTGTAACTTACAACATAAACACAGATAAGTTGAGTTTCTACCTGCCAGGAACACTTGATCCCATGGGGGAAAGCAATAACTTGAGTAAAAAAAAAGCCTAAAAACACACACAGTTAAATAAAATAATATAACACAAGACGTGTCTAATGAAGAAAAGGACAACGTAAATAGCTATAAAGGCAGAAGTTTCTGTAATGAGGTAGTAATTTTTTACCTGGAGTAGGGTTTGGTTTTAACAGAGGTTCTAGAATAAAAGAACATTCCAGGAAAAGGCATCCTGACCAAAACCTTAGAGAAGGGAGGCCTTACATTCTGGAAATGCCTGGTTGGAGCATGGGAAATGGAGAGAACCAAGAGCAAGAAGAGAAGAATATAAGTGCAATTCACACCCCATGATCATGTCCTGCTTTCCAGTGCCCAGGCCATGCCCTTCAGTTTTACTTCCTTCTACATAGCCCTGATAACAAGAGAGCACTTCAATCCTCTCTTCAAAATACTTCGTAGTCAATTTTCTATTCTACCTACCTTTGACTCTCTGATTTTAGTACAAGTATATATGTACTCATTTTATACTTAGGCTAGCAAAAAAAAATGTCCCCTGAGTAGATCTGGCCTCTATTAAAGTGCTAGAAGCTTCTTGGCATCCCTTTCGTTATGGTGCTTATCTAGAATGTTTCCTGCTCCCAAGTTAGCCACTGCTTGTGCCATCTGGATGCCCCTCAGCTAAGGCCTGCTTCTGCCAGTGCCTGCTGCAGCCCCAGCATCCTCCTTCCCACAGCAAACACACCAGAGTGGTATCCCCACTGCATTCCAGTGTGCCACCTCCGCATTGCACGCTCTTGAAGCGTTAAAGCTCCTGCTAATAAGTCGTGTCTCTCATTCATTTACTGTTTTTATCCCCAGCACAATTCTCGATACATTCTGGATGTTGAATATCTGTTTTCTGATTTAATTAATAAATGAATGAATGAGCGCATTACTCAAGGACAGGACAGGATAGGAGAAGTGAAAATTCCAAGTCAAAAAGTTCGCATTTTGCAGCCTTGGGAACTGGTTTTAAAACTTGATATAACCAGCTCTGTGTTTCAACACTAATGCTGGCAGTGGTCTCTGGCAATGTCTGATGTAGAAGACAAACTACAGAATCCAGAAACACGTGGCAAGTAAATCAGCTTGGAGGCCATGACAAGCGTTCAAGTGGGGATGATATGAGCTGACTAAAAGCAAAACAGAAGGAAAGAGTCAAGGGCATCGTTTAAGAGGGAAAATGATTAATGTGATGCAAACATAAGATAGAAAAGACTCAATCGGCAGTTGGGAATATGAATCTGGATATCAAAAGACATTTTTTTTAAAAAGTCACAGAACCTCTAACACCCTCTACCCCACTCCTAGTTTAGTTTTTGAAACTGCACTGGGGCAGATATTTCAACACAACACAATAGGCTCCAATTCCAGCGTCATCTGCTTCAGAGATGACAGTGTCAGGGGAGGGATAACGTTTCCTGGAGAGCCTATACAAGGAAAGTTCAGGAGGCACCAGGGCCTGTCTTTTGGAAAGTTCCCTTCTATAAGGCAAGAACAATACTCAAGAGCCAAGCAAGGAAGAAGGGACTTGGGATGGTCTCACTGTGAGAGTCTCTTGGTGGCACAGTTCTTGCTTTTCACACAAGAGATCTGGGCTCGATCCCTTTTGTGTGTGTGTGTGTGTGTGTGTATTTGCTCACGGGAGCATGTTGGGCTCAAAGATCACGAATATCAATGGAAATAATGGCAAAGATGCACAGATTTACTGTTAGCCAGGATCCCATATAAGCATCCTGAGTATATGTATCCACACGGTTGTCATAGCCAGATTTTGAGGTTGAAACCGCGAGTAGTCAAGTAACTTACTGAAAATCACCCAGCCAGAACATGGACACAAACCTAAGAAGCCTGTATTTAGAATTTAGTCTTAATTACTGTGCTTTGTTACATCTGAGGACATTGTTCTTGGCCTAAGAAAATTTACAGTCCAGAACATGGAACTATATACATTAATTTATATAAAATTAAGTCAGTAAGGTAATAAATATCAGAAGTGGACATGAGGAGTTGTGGTCTGGTGGAGACCAAATCCCTTTAAATTTTCTGGGTTTTGTATCAGGTGATTGTGACCATCCCTAGAATACAGATATTCTAGATCTGCGTAAGTAAAGAATTCACTGAGATTTCTTTGAATGCACAACTCCCGGTGACTTTCCATCATAGTCAATCATAGTGCCAAGAGCCTTCCTGCATCCATTCAATAGTCAGGGCTGAGCCTAGCTGCAGAACCCAAAATGTTCTCACTGCAAAGAAATGGTAAGTGTGGGGGGTGGGAGATTTTAGGATTTTTATTTATTTATTTATTTATTTGAAAGGCAGAGCAGTTGAAAGAGAGAGAAGAAGAGACATGGAGAGAAAGATATCTTTCATTCACTGGTTCACTCCCCAAATAGTTGCAACAGCCAGAGCTGGTACAGGCCAAACCCAGGAGGCAAGAGCACTTTCTGGGTCTCCCACATGGAAGGCAGAGATTCAATTAATTGAGCCATCATCTGCTGTGTTCCATGTGCATTTGCAGGAAGCTGGATCCAAAGCCTATGCTCAACATGGGATGCTGGCATCCCAAGTAGCAGCTCAACCCACTGTACCACGCTTGGCCCCAGAAATGGTAAATCTTTGAGGGATAGTTCTTGTTGCCCTGATTTGTATACATGTATTGGATCATATAATATCCTATAAATATGTACAAATTTTGTGTCAATTAAAGATATTTTAAATGTGTTATCTATGAAATCA